TAGTTCTGGAAGGGATATTTTCTATACCTATTACACTTATTTTGCAGTTCCTTCCTAGTATTATCAACATTAGAGTATAGTTTGGTTCTCTCTTTCGAAAAAGCAAAGGAAATTCCTTTCATATGAAACTACTCCCAATTTCCCCAAAACTAATGGCTATTTCTCTTAATAAACCTAACTAAAATGACGATTTAACTAAGTAAAAGGCTCCGCAGAATTCAATAAACTGAATAAATCAAAATAGTGTTACTAAATATACGCTAAATCACCAGGTCAAATCATTCAATAAACTGAATCCATCAAAATAGTGTTACTAAATATACGCTAAAATACAAGGCCTAGTTTCATTATGAACGTTGCATGGTCATTGGCGACTATTGTATGCTTTGAAATATCGGCAGTCCACGAGATGTAATTATGGACGAGTTAAGTTCTTTGAGAATATCTTATGTTACCTGTGTAAATTCCTCAGTCGTCGTCAGACAAATGAGAGAGGAACGAAGAAAGTGAACTTTAAAAGTTGCTGAAAGGTAGATTATATGGTAAACATTTTTCATATATCTCTCCTTTGCCTGACGACGAATTGGGGGACTAGGCTAAACTAGACTTCATCCGTTAATAAATATACATAAATATGCTAATATGGTCAAACCCACGAAGCCAAATGAGACTGGAATTGCCATTTTTGAAGCATTACCCATCATTAGCCAATCATACCGAGTCGCAGGGTTGGAGCACCCTTAACTATATCAGTTGGCCCCAGTAGCACCATATGCACCATATGCATAGATTGCTAATAGAAGCGAATATGAGCGTCCTCGAAAACAAATGAGAATCAAAAACGTTCCCGGGAACTGTAGTTTCTAAGTAGGCCTCATACACTATGATGAGGAGAACGATGTAGAGCCATAAATCCCCAGAGTGGACCTTGCTTTCCTCGTTCCTCCTCGCGCAACTGCTAGTTTTATAGCCTAGTGCACGGACTAGTCTGTGCAGCTAAATGGCACCATGTGGCTGAGTAATCCGGTTTAATCGTTCAAAAACTGTTCATTTAAAATAGTGACCATTTGAACGTTCAGATAATACAAGATTTCGTTCCGTTTTCGGACTAAATGGCACAATAGGACCGTCTTGACTATTTCCATCTAGGCTGATCGTTCCAGATAGACAATCTTCTACCCCAGATGTATATATCAATTATCAATGTAATAACGAGATTTATTTGCCGCTCACTGCTTGACGCGTATGCGATACAGGCAAACTTTCAAGTACAAAACGTTCAAACATTCTGCGTTTAAACGAAGCTATTGTAGATTTCGCTGGTAACGTCTCTGTCGAATTCTCGGTAATTTGTTTCTTTTAATCTTCCCTTCCATCTCGCTTTTTATTTTTTAGATTACAAACTAACCAAGATGAGGTGGGTTTTAATGTTTTGACATATTCTTAACAACGTGTGACGAATAGTTTTACATGAATAGCTTTACAACGTGTAAGGAATAGCTTTACATGAATAGCTTTACGAATAGCATTACATGGACCTCGACCCCGATGGTCAAACGCACACATGGTTTTTTATCAAAAATTGAATTTCAACCTACTCCTAGGAATTCGTGAATGCGACTATCTTGGTTAAATAGCGAAGCTTAAGCATAATCTTTGTTTATTGGGCTCATGATATAAACCGTTTTCCTCGCAACAGAAGGCGTTCGAACTGTTATTTGCCCCCAGTTTCGATGAGTGTTCTTTAGAAGATATTTTAGTTTTCAGAATTATTCATATATATTGTGTTGGCAACTTACGTATAATCTTTGAACTCAGTTTAAAGAGAAATTCCATGAATAAGATTATAAGTGAGATATAAGTAAAACTATGACACAGAGACAAGCATGAAAAACGTAGATTCTAAAGTATTCTCAGTTATTGACCTCCCTTTATATTATGGCAGCCAGGGAAACGTAAATCAAGTCGCGATGGACACCTTCAAAGCCATGGACACCGATAAATCTGGATCAATAAGTTTCGCTGAATTCAAAGTCGCCATGGAAAAAGAAGCCAAGAACGGCAAGGTCGATGAGAAGAATCTTCGAGCCTTCTTTAACAAACTTGACACTGATAAGAACGGTGAATTAAGCCTCGCCGAACTTTCAAAAGCCTTCAATAAGTAGATTTGCCTTCTGCATAAAATATTTCTTCGCCTAAATATTTTTGTGTTTCTTTATAGTAGATTGTAACTAAACAGCTCTTAGCCTTTGTTGTCTGGGAACTAACTGGCTCTGGATTCAAAATGCCGGCTTTGAAGGAAGAGAATATTAACTATAGGTGGTTGCCGGTTTAATGTCACTATCACGCCCTCCATTATCATTGTCCTCGTAATTTTAACCATCATAGTGATCCTCGCCACGAACATCAGTGGCAATATACCCTTGGTGAAAGCTGCTGCATTTCGAGCAAAAGCCATGTAAAAGCCTGTTTACGAATTAGTCGCCCTTTTCCGCTTAGTTGGTGTAGATTTTGGTTTGACTGCTGTTTTCTTCTACGTCATCGCTTGGAGTTGGTTAATTAATTTAGGGATAGGCTGTTCCAGGAGAAAAGTTGCAGTAGGTCACAAAACACCTGATTGTTACCAATTATATGAGTTTTGATTCATCAAACTCCTCGGGGAGGTTTTG